CCGGGGCGTCCCTGAATAGGCAGCCCCATACAGGCGGTGTGGGTGACAGGAAGAGCCATCGCGCCCACTCTTCGCGTAGCTCGATCGCAAGCTGATCGTCACTGTTATGCTGGCCGGTCTCACCCTGTACCACATCAGCCAAGCTCTGAAATGTGCCGACTCTGAGAGGGCCCAGCCGGGTGGCGTGTACCAACCTGCTCGTTGCACGCGCTACGGTGAGCGGTTGGATCAGCGGGAGCCCAGTGAGGGCCACCCCTCTGATGCCCACGTGCTTCATAAGCAGCCTGTCGATAGTTTCAAACTGAATATCGTTGGCGCCACCACCAGTTGGCTGCTTCGGGTCTCCCGTGCGAATGAGGAGCACATCATCTGCGGCCTCAGTGACATTGACCATAGAGGCGCATCGGCGAGCACGTTATGAGATATCATAAGAACGGCGAGTAATGCAGCATGCTGCTGCGATGTCCATACTACCGGAAAATCCAAAACCGCATCGATACACATCACAGCTAGCAGGAGGGAGAACGTTTTGGAGGCACCAGGGCATCCTAAAATGTTAAGGGAGGTGCGGTTCGTGCCTCGCGCCACAAGGATCGCCTATATGTGAGCTATGAGAAGGCCATCGGGGTCCTCAAGCAAATTGCTGATTAGTTCACAAAAGGCACGACCGCGGATGTTGGCGGCATCGAAGTAGACCTGTGCGATCTCTTCGCGCGGCACTTCCCAAGTCCTCCCTACCTGCCTTGTTGACCTTGACGATTGAAGCTTCTCAATGGCCGCCTGGAGTTCATGCCGATGAGAGAGCCAGGAGACAGAGTCGGCCTGCGCAGGGTCGAAGAGTCCCTCCCACGCCGTGATCCGGCAGGCCTGTAGAAAAAGAAGAACCATGTCAGTTTCCACTGAGAACGCAGCGCCGGAGTGTGTGATAGGCCTGGACGTATTAGGGGCCGGCACACCCAGCGTTAGGGGGACACGAGCATTGGGCAACGCAAGAACACGCTTAAATAGGTCGAGGCCACCTCCCGACTTCAGGCAAACTAGTCTGTGGTACGGCAGGGTGACTGCCGGAGCATGCTGCATCGTTGGCGGTGGCCCTAAAAAGGCTGGCCATTCACGGACGAGCACCTCCACATATCCTGGGCTGAGCTTCCGTAGATGCCTGGCATATTTGTCCTCTCGCTTACGTTGCGAGATGTGGAGCTCCGTAAAAATCCCGACAAGTTTGTAGACCGGCGGGCCACCTAACTCGAACACCACTACCGAGCCCTCTAATGGAAACTGCCGATCCACATGGGAGAACCAATTACGCGCCACGCCTGTCGGGGAGGACGCAACAATCCTCAGAACATACGCACCAAAGCTGGTGCAGGTCGAGGCCGTGACTGTGGCAGAGAAATCTTGAAACGTTCTGCTACCTGCGAGGCGCTCCTTAGGGGCTGCCTGCCTGTGTGGCTCGCGCCGTCCCTCTTCTGTCGAGTCAGCTAAGGTGGCACCCTTACTAAAGAGGTGAAAGTAAAGGAAATCAACCACTCGGTGCAAGGAGTGCCGCAACAGGACTTTGGCAACCGGCTCGGGGAGCCCGCAGGTTGAGCGATTTTCCATGGTGATGTCGTGTAGTTCAACGGTGCTCAAGAGCCATGACTTCAGGTCACTGAGTGCAGCCGCGGAGGGCGGCTGGTGTGCCAAAAGATCGGCAAGGAGACCACCTGGTAAGGCCTCCCGTAGGCTCTCGAGGGCGCGCTCGGTGAGCTCGGCCTGCGGAAAGATGGCCCGCATAACCTGCATGTGCGGCGAGTCACTAAAGACCGGGAAACGGAACAAGTGCAACTGCTGGAAAGCCAAGTAGAGTTCGTGGTTGTCGTTGATCAGTGGCAGGAAAGCCCGACAATGCTCGGTATTGACTTCCGAGGACAGGTATGCAAGTCGCTCGAGCAGATGGCCATATCCATGACAGTTTGGACGGTAAAGGTTTGCCGATGAGCCGCCGAGCAACCAGACAAACCCCCCTCCGGCAGCACGCAAGGCCGTGGTCAGCTGCTCCCTGCGTTGCGCAGATGGGCTGAAAGGGCACAGCCTGTCTTCACTTACATGGACGAGCCATAAGGTGAAAGGCAGCTGTAGAAGCTGCGCAAAAATAAAGTCGGGCATGCCCAAGGCTCCGAGCCTGACCACGTGACGGAGCGCACCACCCTCCAGGGCCACAGCAGAATTGCCGGTCCCAGGCTGCGGCGGGATGCGTTCCCACGCCCGATGCGCTAGAATTGCAAGCACCGCGCCTGTATAACTTCCTGCTGAGAAGCCCTGTATAATGAGGGGGCTCGGTCGGAGAGCCGCTAGAAAAATGAGCATGGCACTAAGGCAGCCACTGTGTGGGGACTGCAGGTGCGAACTGCGTGGTAAACGCTGAAACGGCCTATGCAGCATCGAGACTTCGGGTGGATTAAGGGGGGAGTCCAGCATAACATGGGCCGCGCGAATCACACACGCAGGGGAGAGCAGGAGGCTAGTGCGCTGGCCAGCAAACGATAGCCTGTCCGGCTCCTCAACGAACAATTGCCCCTTATCGCCCTCTACCGTGGTTTCCATTTGGCATCCCGTGGGCCCGTAGCACTGCTGCGAGCACACTACCTGCCAGTTCTCCGTTCTTGCAGGGATGTGGAAAAGCCCCGCTCCCGAACAGATTACCTTCACGGGGGAGTTCTCCACCGGCAGGGACTGGTCATGCTCCTCGTTGGTGCTTTCCCAGTGTGCGCGCACAAAGCGGCCCACTTGACATTGATCGAAGTAGGTGCCTAATAAGGTTGCGTCGCTGGCTGCAGTGCCTTGGCCCCCGTTAAGTAGGCGGACGCGAAGGCGTGTCAATTCTGCACATATCCAGCCTCGGGCGGTGCCAGTTAACGGATGCGCTAGGCTTCCATCTGCTGTGTCCAGGCAATAGAACTCCAAGGGCCGGCTGGCACCTTCCAGGACGGGTCTCTCCGGTCCAACAATTTCCTACAGAATCCTGGGGCTCCCATAAGGCCATAAAATCCTGACGCCCATCCTGGCGGCTTCCCACTCCAGCCCCAGAGGCATTCGGCAAGAGTGGGGAGAGCTCGCACTCCTTCAAGTGCACCTTTCCTCCAGCTCCATACCCGTGCACCAGGGCCGGTCCTACAACTGTGCCTTCAGTCGGAAGGCGTTTGCTCATGATAGACAGCCCACTCTGCAACGGACGCTACTCAGAGAGTAGAGCGTGGAGTTCGCGCATTGCTCATGGGCTCCACGTGCCCACGCGAGCGCCCCAGGGAACGGCGCTAAAAGCGAGGCGACAGGCTCGAGTGGGCGTGGAACACGACAGGCCGCCGTGTACGCGCCCTCGCTGTCAGGGCGCCAATAGAAAGCCTGGATCAAGAAGCCTAAGTAGGCCCATGCCGTCGCCACGTCGCCTGAGTGCCTAGCCTGTGCGCCCATGAGCGGGGTGCCCGCCAGCATTTCGGCCTGGCGCCAATCCGCCGCCACCGTGCTGCGCGGTAGCGTGGGCAGCGAGAAGCGCCGGGACCAGCTCGGCGGCCCAATCGTCGAGCAGTGTAGCATCCAATCGAAGGCGATCCTCATACCTGCGGAAGCCATGATCGCCGCCATGCTTCGGAATTCCGTTGACCGCCACACCCGAGGGAGAAGGCCTATGTCTTTAGGGGCATGGCGTCAGTGGAGGGTTCCGAAACAAAAACGACACCAATAGTGCTTATGTCGTGCCGCCGCTGCGCAAGGTCATATAGCCTCCAGGAGCATAGTCCCAAATCGACCGAATACGCGAAGCGGCCCCCAAATCTGCTTCTTCCAGCAAGGGCGCCTCTTGGAATAGGGCAGCCTCAGCAACTAACTCCTGAAGATCACGAACTTCAAAGAGAGAGGTGGGCGCCGCATCGTGGTCCGCAAGGAGGATGTGTTTGCCGGGGAGAAGCGTAGAGAGCAACCAGAGTGCATATACCTTACCCCACCATATTGGCGCATCCGTGAGGGCCGTCTCAGCATGGATGGGGACGAAGAGCGCTGAATGTCGTTCTCCGTGGCGGCCAATCCAGCGTCCCCGGTTGATGATGTGCGGCAACGTGTGCTGGGCATGCTGGTATGTGGTCACATCCGCGGTATCCGTAAAGAGCCACAAGGACTCGCACATGAGGACTCCTGGCTCCATAATCAAGGGTAAGATCGCCCTCGCAAGCCTTCCGAGAGCCAATGGGAGAGTTGCATTGCCAAAGGCCACGTCCAATCCACTGCGGAACAGTGTGAGACCCGGATTGACCGACATCGGGCGAAATCCATATACAGACTCGTAACCCCCATCATGGTTGTCAACGGACGATCGCCGCACTCGTTGGCGGCCCCTCTGGCTTGCCAGTATTGTCTCAACCGCGGCAACCCAATGTTCTCCAGTGTCCACGGACAGCGCCGTGACAACAATATTGCTCTCAAGGTGCCGCGCGACAAAAACATGCCCGCGGTTAAAGGGCCCAGGGATGCTGACTTCCTGGCAGAGAGCCGTGATCACCGGGACGTCATTATAATCAGGCGGTGCCACCCCACGGTGCATACCGCGGGACGAGGGAGCCCGCGGTCCAGGAGTGCCTGTATCACTAGCAGCCCATCGTACAGCTGCAGGTGAAGGCCACTCTCCGCCATAAGATGTTGTTGAACCACGGCTTGCGTGAGGGTCATGAATCTGGGTTTAGGCCATCGCCCTCCCGCGAGTCCTGTATGATAGAGACGGGCCACATCCTGCGGCGCCAGCTTGGTCGCTAAGGGAGCGGCCACTGCCATGGCGTCGGAAGTGGGTACTACGGTGGTAGGGCTACAGACGAATATGTCCGAGCCCCCCCCTACCCCCCTCCTATCTTTTCCTTTTTGAGCTCGGGCAAGCACCCAATTCAACATAAGCATGCGAGGGGCTCATCGGCAACCGCACAGCAGAGGGGCAGCGCGTTTTCGCCTCAGCCGCTCGAAGCCTGATGCCGGGTTCAGTCGCTCAGAAAGCACGTAAGGTACCCCTGACGCTGGCCAAAGTCCACGTCGGGGTGGTTGCGAATGTAGTTGCGGACATCGCTGACCTGCTTGAACCAAATTCGGCATGTCATATGCTCGGGGCGCTGCCACCCACAGTAGGTCTCGACCACGACCAAGTTGCACCCGGCCGTTGCCGCGAGGAGAAGTGTGACCTCCAAGGCAGCCTCAGTGAGGGTGAACGTACCATCTTGTCGGAAGTCGTAGTGGAAGACGTCGCCCCCTCGGACATTGATGCCTGCATCCAAGCGCTGCCAGAGTGGCACAGCCATCGCACCGTGTGGTGCAAGGAAATGCGGGAGGGCCCTCTCCAATGGCTATGCCGGATTGCGCAGCTCAGGCGAATGCCTGGCTGCTATAGAGCAATAAAGGCTACATGAGTCGCACCTTTCAGATCGGCAGCAAGGAACACCACGTTTCTCTGGTCTCCTTGCAGCTTAAAGAATCCTCAGTACAAAACGAAACGAATATGTATAAAGATATGTGGAGAAATTTTTCAATCTCCAATCAGAGGAATAATAGTCCAGCAATCCTTATTGTATTGCAAACAGAATGGCTCCACTCGGACAGGGCTTCTTTTTCGCACTCCGTTGCAACGGGGGTCTGTTACCGGGTTGATGGCGAGAGACATGATTCAAAATCGCACAAGATCAACCGAGGCATCATGCTGGAAAACGTGATGCGAAATACAGCATCAAATCACATGAAAATCGGAATCTGTTGTAAAATCGCAACAAGCTAAAACTTGTGGTTTAAACTAAGTTGTTTGAAAACTGCAAGTGCGCTTCGCCTTTGGCTTCGCTAGACCAGGATAAACATAACTGCGCTTCGCTCCGTGGGTCGTTTCTCTGGTCTCCTTGCAGCTTAAAGAATCCTCAGTACAAAACGAAACGAATATGTATAAAGATATGTGGAGAAATTTTTCAATCTCCAATCAGAGGAATAATAGTCCAGCAATCCTTATTGTATTGCAAACAGAATGGCTCCACTCGGACAGGGCTTCTTTTTCGCACTCCGTTGCAACGGGGGTCTGTTACCGGGTTGATGGCGAGAGCGGGCGAGCACAACCCGTTTAGAGCAAGGCGAGAATAGCCAAACTGAGCACGGCTAAAGCAGCCGAACAGAGCAGCCATCTTCCCCCGGCCCCGCGATCGGAGGATGCATCGATGATCACTGCAGCACTTCCTGTGCCCAATCAGCTTCCAGCCTAGCCGATGTAAGAATGGCCTGAGCCAGCTTAGGCTCGTAGTGGGGAGCACGAATGAAATCCATCATCGTATCAGTGGCTGCCACGTCACCTTTGTTTATGGCCCGAAAACGCTCACAAGCTTCTGCAAACTGCCCCCGCGATGGGAGGTCCGCCGGGTTACTCTTTGAGGGGACCCGCTCAAACCAGAGAAGCGCTTCCATGGAACTCTCCATCAAAGCCACCAAGGAGATGAGGCGCATCATGGAGGCTGAGGGGGAGTATCTTTTCACGAATCCATAGAGGCAGGCATTGTTGTCAATCCATGCCAAGACTGAGCGACCTTTCAGCACTCCGCGGATCCCGAACAAGGTTATTGCCAGAGCATAGGCCTCAACCTGGCAAATGACTTGTGTCCCAGCTTCCTTGCCCCAGTGACCCATTAGCGGATGGTAGACTTCCCCCCCGAAGACCCATCGGGAGCCCGTGCAAGCATCTACTAGAACCGCGCCCCAGGTACCTCGCCCTTTCTCGAAGGCTCCATCAGTGTAGAGCACAATCGGCGGCAGAATGGTAGCTGGGCACCTCTTTGGTCTGCACTGCGCAATGACATCCAGAGCTAACGCACAAGCCAGTCGAAGTTCGAGTGTGCTGCCTTGAAAGGGTCCCGACAAGGCCCGGGATAGCATTCTCGACGTTGGCTTCAACTCGAAGCCCATAATCAGCCCACCTGCGAAGTTGATCAAGCCGCGCAGCGAGGCAACATCAGATCTCGTCACGGCTCCGCCCTGGGCGACTGTTCGGAGGAGCTCTGCAATCTTTTCAAGACGTCCCGCTTTGTTCTCGACTTTGAGAGTGCCTTCCCAGATTTCGTCAAGACCTAAAGAAACGCCCAAAGAGACTACCTTGTTGTCAAAAGGCACAAACTTCCGCCCCGACTTCGCGTAGGTCCACCCTAGCAAGTCCAACAGCCTCATCAAGACTTTGTCCAGCAAGAAAGCAGCCGGGCGGAATTCGTAGACAGTGTAGTCGTCGTAAAAGTCCGTCGCGATTGCGGCGAACTTGACAACCATGATGTGAAGGATTGCAAGTGCCACTTTGTTGAACCCGTACACGCTGGCAGCAGCACCAAAAGGCAGACTCTGTGCTATGTAGAATTCCCACTCGCCCTGTGGGTTGGGGAAACCAAGCACGGCGTGTTCCCTCGTGGAAGGATGGATGCTCACCTGGCGATAGGCCTTACTCAAGTCCAGCGTCTTACCGAGCAGAGCGGGCTGGCGAAGCATCTCAGGATGCCAGTCCCCCTCGAGCACGGTGCCATCAGACAAGGGGACCCGGACCTTGGAGCGATCCTGCAGCACACGGGAAAGGAACCTCAGGAGGCCGACCGCGTAATCCGTATCCTGAAGCTCTAGGAAAGACGAGGAACCAAAGGCCCGGTTAACAGCCGACATTTTAAAGTCGTCAATTATCCTTATCTTGGCTTCTTCACCCTGCCTCAACAGGAAACGAGGCGAGAGCGACCAAGCCTCGGTCTTCAAGATGTCGCTGACTTCCTGCTCCGAGTGGTATGGACCCGTGAGGAAACCAGCTGCCAGTTCCTCGGAAGTCTCAGCTTTCATCGCCTTGTAATCCTGCTCGGAGGTAAGCCCTTTCATCTTCTGCAATGCACGCCGCCGCAGTTTGGCCTGGGCTTTAAGCTGATCTGGCTCAAGGTCCATGGGCTTCGGCCGCTTTGCAAACAGAGGGGACTCGGCTTCCTGACCAACTAAGGGCACACCGTCGGTAAGAAGGTCGACCACTGACATGTCGGGAAAGCCTGTTTCCTCAAGAAGCTCGCGAAACAAAGCTAGGGCTTTGCCCTTCGTGACTCGCTCCACATCCGGATGCATTTTGGCTCGAAGTTCTTTCTCAGTGGCGGACAGCACCGCCATCCGGTCATTCAATTTTTTCAGTTCAAGCATCCGCTGCTTTGACACAGCCACTGGGCCTTCCGTGAGAATGGCAAAGATGTTGCGGCGAACAGCATCGGGCAAACGAGCGCTATTGTCAGCTGGGCAGGTTAGCCCACATGCACGATGCAGGTGCTCCTCCATGGAGAAGTACACACCTGCCAGGTCTCCGGCTCTACCATCTCCTTGCATCCGGACCCTCTTAGAAGGATTGGGCTCATCATTATCCCCCGGCTCATCATTGTCCCCCGCACTAGAGCCGCGGCCTTTGGAGAGAATTTTGTAATCAGCGCCATTGGGTACTTGTGACAAAGGAACCCTAACCCGAAATTCAGGGATTAAGGGAGGCATGTAGGTGGGTTGGTTGGCCGCTGCCGCTCGCACCTGAGCTCGAAGTCTGCGGCTATGCAGGAGGTCGACTCGTTGGGCCTGGAGGCCCTGGCAAACGGCGGTGGCGGACTGACACAGCTTCCGACACAGCTCAGCAGGCAGCGAGGCATCACTGAAACCCTTTCCTGCAGAAGAAGGAATCCAAGGCATGTGTTTATGGGACTTATCACAGGGACGGCCAAGGTTAGGGAATGATGCAGAGTCGGCTCGGATCCGCAGCGACGTCAAGAACGAGGCACCGAACATGCAAGTATCAAGCTCCTGATCGGCCAGAGCGAAAAACCATTGCAGAAAGTCCTGATGGCGCCTCCACTTGACAAAATGGGCTAAGAGGCTCCAAACCCAACTCCGGGCCGGCCCGATCAAGCTGACCAGGGCCCGAGTTTCGAAAGCTCGGAACAGCAGGTCGACCACCGCCTGCAGTAAGCTGTTTTCATGCTGCACCAGCGAATCGGCGCGGGCAGGAAGGCCTTCTCGCCCTAGCAAGTGAGAGGCGTCACGAAGGCTCGCACGTCCTCGAGAATCACTCCCCTGATTGCAAGATTTCATGAACAGATTGAAATGCCACCAGTCGACGAGTGTGTGGCGATCGAAGTCAAGCAATGCTTTCAGAACGTCTGCAGCAGAGAGGTCAATCGGCACTCGGGGACAGCACTCAGGGGCACCACGTTTGTGGCCCAATGGCAAGGCATCCCATCCAGCTTGAAGGGCGGCGGCCGATAAGGATCCCGAGACAGCGAGGCAATCGGCAAGCATGGGCGGACGAGGGACCGAAGAGGGGCCCTGATTCGACAGGGTGTTGCAGCCCTCTGAGGTCTCGAGCGAGGCTGAAGCGGCACTTCGCTGATGTGCACTGGGATCCGGACAAGCAGGCACACTGGGATCCGATGACACCTGGACGGATCCTGAAGACGCAGACGAGGGGAATGATTCTTGCTCGGAGGCAGGCGGAGCGGGCTCTTCCAGGGGGAGAATCCGACGCATCTGATCTGTCACTGGAAGCTGTCGTGAGGAGCAGACCTCAGTTGAAGCTAGCTGCGAAGCACTGGGCAACGGGAAGCCCAAATCAAGCAAGACCTGTTTGTCGGCTCCTGAGATTCGCCCTCCTGCCTGCAATGCAAAAAGCACCAGAACAACTCGGCGCCCCGTGGCTGGCAGAGTGCAGTGTTCATACCCTCGCGCACAAAATTTAATGGGCCCGCGAGACACTTCCAAGTCCACAGTCTGGCCTGGCTCGCTTACCCTGACAGCTCCCCCTTGGAAAATGGTCAAAGGAATGACATAATTCGGAGAAAAGGAATTCTGACTGTCTCGGTGTGACCGAGTGCGTACCTGATCAAAAATGGCGAAACTGGTGTAAACGGCACCATCAAGCAAAGAGGCTACAAACCTGTTCACCACACGCACCGTTTGTGGAAAAAGCCTACAGGATTTCCGAAGGCTCACCTTAACTCGAGAGTACATCCCTGCCGAAAATGAGCGCCCTTCGGCGTCTCGGTCGCACTGCTCATGCGGCAAGGCATCAAAAAGCCTCATCACTTGCTCAGCGGTAACAGGTGTGCTCTGAGCTAAGATTTGCCTGGCAAAAGCCTCGGGCGAGGGCGAGGCTAGTCAATGCTTGCACTCACTGTAGGGCCTGTCTGCCCCGCACCCCCTGAAGTTGCACACGTGCTTGCCGAAGCGGCACGACTTGCGCTTCTGGAAGCGACAGATCCCCTTGTTGTAAAATGGGCAGATGAAACGCCCATCATCGTTGGCCCGCACGCAGCCCTCGGGCAACGACTCCAGCAGCTCCTTCAGGGACAGTTGCGAGGAGGCATCAGCCTGGCCCTGGCTGTGATTCTGCTTCCCTTTGCCGCGGCCTTTGCCCTTGGTACCCTTCTCTCCCTTCTGATTGCCCTTGTCAGGTCCCTTATTCGGCTTCCACGGTAGGGCCTGGTTCTCGGCAGGCTTAGGAAGGTGTGTCAGGCAGGATACCACAAACTGGTTGGTTGCAGCAGCGGCTATGTGCTTATCAAGAGGAGCCGGGGCTCCGACTCCGACGACGATGTCACCTCGGCTCTCCTGGGCCACTACCTGCCAAAGCTTCTGGTCGGCTGCGAGCAGCTGCTGGACAGTAGTGTATCGATAACCCGGGAGGCACATCAAGCAGAGCCTGGAACATGCGGTTGTGCCAAGACTCCATTGCAGTGAAGGAAGCGAGCCCTACTTGATCGAACGCTAAGGCTCGGCGCAGGAAGCACCGGCGAAGCTTGAGCTCGCCGGTAGTCTCGCACCGGAGACTCGAGGCTTGCTTCGTGATCTTGATGTTCCCGTCAGCTCCCAAAGAGAGCTTTTGCTCCGTCTTCTCACCCAGGATCTCGTCATGGCGGGAAATGCACTTTTCTGGTGCGATGTGTAGCACTTGTGCGGAATCGAGCATGGCTTGGACGCGGTCCACAAGGCCGTGTCCAGGCTCTGTGTGGATATCCATCTCGAGGCCTTTAAGCTCGCCCCTTTGGCGTTTCAAGCGTGTCAAGCGTTCTGCCAACGGAAGCTCGCGGGGGCTTGCATCACTTGTTCTCGAAGCCCTCGATTCTAAGTCCACCAGGGCGTGGGCGTGGCTCTCGTACCACAATCGCCTGATCACCATATGTTGTTCCACTGGAACCTCACTCCCAATCAGAGTCTTCAGGGCTTCGAAGAGAGGAGTGTCATCCCCGCTGGAAGGTTTGCTCGAGCACACGAAAGCGAGCTTGCCGAAGGTGTTCAAGTTCTTAGCAAGGAGCTTGTTCAGAAGTTCCTCGCTGATGCCGATCTGCTTTGCTCGATCGGTGAAGGCGGGCACCGATTCAAGTCCGGCCATGAGACCTGGGCAGGTGAGGATACAGGTTTCGAGGTCTCACCCACGGCGAAGTCAACCGTGGGTCGCGTTTGTCTCGGATTCACACTTCTTTGCCACCGATCACAGGCGGCCTTCGGGAACCGGCGATCCCAGCCGGCCTCGTTCCAATCGTTTTTCATGACTCAGGCCGGCAAAGGCAGCCGACCACGGGGGTTTTGCAATCTCAAGGCCCCCAATCAAACTCCCGCTAAGTTCAAGCCTGGGTGCTCACCAGGCCGTGCGGGAGACTCGCCCCAGTTTGGCAACTCCCAGCCAAAAAGACTGCGGACACTTCTCAGTCCGGTTTTGTGCTCCGAAGCAAGAAACACTCCAACTGATCTCAATCGGCCCGAGCACCTTCATCTCAAATGGCATAGGCACGACGTCGCAAATCAGCAAACGATCAACTGAGCACATCCTCTTTTCTTCAAGCTGCGCACTGCTGGCAGACATTCTCCTGAGCCTCCTCAGGCCCCATCAAACGCATGTTTGCCGTGACCTTCCTACCGCACTTAAAAATTCCGGGGTTGACCAACTTATGCACCACTCCACTCAAGACGTGCATGTAGGTCTCTCCCGAGAACGTGCAGCTGAGCCGAGGACGGACCTCCTCCGGGGCCGGTGCCCCCAGGTCCACTTCGAGACCGTCGAGGTTTGTTATGTCAGACCCGGCCTCGGAGTTGTTCTCATCTTGAGGCTCTTCGGCCGGTAAATCCTCAGCCGTCGTCTCAGGAAGATGTGCAAAATCTGCTGGATCGCCATGCAGAGCTCTTGCGACCCTCTCGGCTCGCGGGAGGTCGGGACTAAGCACTCCCCTGCTCACAGCACTCACGACCTTGGCTACCTTCACTATGATTTCTGCAAGCGCATCTCTCGAGTACAGGAGAGCCATGCCGTGCTTTGGGCTGCAATGATGCCCCTGGGCGAGGCGCTCCTCGTAGGTCATGGTCCCGCTCTTGGCCGTCCAGGACAAGGCTGTTGCTTTCAGGCTGTGCGAGCTGTACTGTTCAAGATCCCCCGCGAAACCCTGCAAGTGCAAAAACTCACGAAGCCACAAGGAACCCTCCGCAGCCGTCATGGCCCTTCCTAGAAAGTTCCCTCCCGGCGACATGGCCGGCATGATTACGGAACAGTCCGGTAGCCCTGCCAGGGCCCTCTTGCGCATCCAGACACGTCCCCATGAGGGCTGAGTTAGGCCGCTGCCCAGTGCAATCAAAGGCAGCACGGTATCCTTTCGGTCCTTGGCCTTCGTCTTGTAATGCTTTGTCGAACACTCAAGAAGGACAAGCCCGTTACCTGCCACGTCAATGCTCAAGTGAGTCCCTCGAGCCGCGTCCGACCATCGAGCCGAGGAGTAGAGGCAGAAAAGAATGAACCCTGCTATGCTGGCCCTGGCATAGTCCTCGGACTCGTGAACCAATTCTTCCAGGAGCCGCACTGCCTCTACCGGAAGGGGCGGCGCTTGCCAGAGCGGCCGTTTGGCCATGGACATCGCCTTGGCTGCTCCGTGCACACGAGGGAAAATCCTGGAGCCTTTCTCTGCCCCGGTCAAGTGCACAAAGAACTTGTAGGCCTTGAGAAAAGACTCGCCGGCGGTGGCTCCGGCTTTCTCCCGTCGCAAGTGAAGCATGTAAGCATACAACTCGCCTTCGGACGGCGCCAGCGGGCGCCCTTTGTTAGCTACGATCCACTTGGCAAACCTTGAGAAATCTGAGGCCCGCTTCAGAAGGGTGCTGGCGGCTCTGCCTGAAAAAGTGTCCTCGATGGTCGAGGTCAGCATGGATTCCTCCACCAGGGAGCCTGCAGAACCCACGAGGTTCCTTCCAAGCTCCGAATCATCAGGGAAGAAAAGCACGATGAGCCGAATTTTCTTTAGTGCGGTAAGCCTAAGCATGTCATCGCTTTTGGCAAACCTGGCTGCAAGAAGTCGCCTGGCCTCGTAAGTTCCTTTGGGCACCCATGCCCACGGCCCTGCTGCAGGGGCGGGGATCGCCGCCCTCCTAAGACCGTCGAAACGACCTAGCAACGGCTCCTGGAACATGAAGCTAGGCCCCAACCGGGGCCTCGTCACTCTTTCCCACGGCATCGCCTGACGGGAATGCCTTGCAAGAATGAAACCTGAGTTCATGGCATGCCAATCGCCTGCGCTGCCGCCGTAGGCAATAAAGCCTGCAAGCTGCTGTTCCAATCGGTCCGCAGTCGGGTCGTCGTCAGGGGGAAGTTGTGTGTCCTCGCAAGACATCAGGCCCCCCAGTTGCTCCTCAGTAAGATCATCGCCCTCGGAGGGGGTTGCTCATGGAGGCCGCTAAAGGACTGTGATCAGGTGTGCCCTCAAGCACAGCCGAATTCGGTGATATTGGGCTGGCAGGTATGGCAGACAGAGGGACTTGCTGACCTGATTCAACAGACTGCGAGACGGCCCCCTCATCCGGATAAAAAGCTTCAGCACTCATCCCCCGCAAAAGAAGCTTATGCAACACGAGTGATGTCAAGAAAGTCGCCGGCAACAAAGCCGCAAGGCTCCAAGAAAACGCTCTACGAGGGAAAGTCGGGCAGAGACGGACTCGCCCTGAGACTCAAGGAGGCTGTAGCGGTCCTCCAGCACCCGGAGGCGAGATTCGAGAATGCTGAAAGAAAGCTGTAGCGAATGCAAATGGGCACTTAATGCTTCGAAATCAGAGCTGGAGTCCCCAACGCTCGCTGTCGCAGACACTGACTCTGAAGCAGCCTCCGGGTCCATCGGCTGCTCTATCCGAGAGCAGCTTGCACGACGGGCTAGCCCCAAGCGTCCGCCTGTTGAGTTTCAGGAGCCTGTTGCAGTTAAAGAAGGACCTCAAAGACCCAAAGGCTCCTTTGAAAAATTTCCGGCAATCTCAGCCTTGAACACACCGCCGGGTGACATGATTCAAAATCGCACAAGATCAACCGAGGCATCATGCTGGAAAACGTGATGCGAAATACAGCATCAAATCACATGAAAATCGGAATCTGTTGTGAAATCGCAACAAGCTAAAACTTGTGGTTTAAACAAAGTTGTTTGAAAACTGCAAGTGCGCTTCGCCTTTGGCTTCGCTAGACCAGGATAAACATAACTGCGCTTCGCTCCGTGGGTCGCACCTAAGGGCACCGCTTTCCCACTCCGCACCGACGAGCAATTGCGGGGTCCATCCAGCTCTATGCGCCGCGGTCCTGCGTTCCTCAGGTGTGGTAGAAGGCCTGGTAACCGCGGTGTCCCTGGGAGTCATGATAGGAGGTGATGCCACTAGCTGCCACGCGAGGGTCACCAGGCACCGCTTTGAGCCAGGCCAGGCGACGGCTCGCTTCAATGACCACCACGTTGCAATCGTACAAGGCAGCGATCACGTGGGCATACTGGACGAAGGGAGCGTCCACTGCCGAAGACGTGCTGAGCTGCAGCACATCATAGTGAGGGATGTTCAGGCCGGCTCCAAGCGCTTCCCACTTGCCCGTTGTCCCACGGGCCTGCAGCCGGAGGGTCAGGTCCGTGCCCGCTGCCAACGGAGAAGCGCCCACCAGCGCAGGAGGCGGCTGAGCCATGTCGGCGTTAGCCGAGCAAGGCAGAACACAGGGGTTCTCTGGTGCAGCGGAATCGCCGACCAGTTGGCAGTCTCCTAAAAGAATGTCGGCTGAGCCAAGACAGGCATCAGGACGAGCCGAAGTACAGGCGCTTCCCAGTAAGGCCCTTTGCACAGCCCCCTTAGCGCAGCAAGCCTTTGTCAGGTTGATGCGCAGGTCACGATAAGGCGTCAACGGGGCCGTCACAGCCAAGTGGCCGGTCGGTGCGCGATCGAGTTGCACAAAAAGAGCCGGACTGTGTCCCACATGCGGTTAAAGACTGCTAGCCCAAAAGGCGTGTAATCGCTATCATCACTCTGTGGTTCCAGGCCTGGGTCGGCTCTGGCAATCAGCAAAAGCCTAGAAACGGCGAGCGGAGCTGTATGCTCGACTGCCTCAATCAAGGCACGCTTCAGCAGGGGTCCTTCAGCCGGATAGCCTGCGGCCAGGAGTTCATAGACGGTGGCCGCGCTCCCCGCCTGAACCGCCGTTAGCAGCGCAAGGTGAACAGGGTCAGGCTCAGCATCCTCCTCAGGGTCCATAACCGGCCGCATGCGGAGATAACGGACCAAGATGGCAACTTGCAAGGTATCGCCGCGTTGGGCCGCAAGGTCGAGTGCCTCACGTAGCCGGCCGCCTCCGGGTAGCTGACGTTCTCTGGTCACCTCGAGGACCCTGGTGAGCACCACTACAGGCTGGTCCAGCGCCCATGCCACCGGACACAGGTGAGGTCCCCAGACCCCAGACCCAGCACGTGGCGAAGCCCCCTGTAGCCTCGACAGTCCGTGTAAGCGAGGGGGGATCGTCGCGAAGCAACGAGTCGCGCAGGAGGGTTTGTTGCTCAATGACTGAACCCTCTCCAATTGGGTTCAGGAGGAGCAACTGGTAGTTCCCGCGGACAACGATGCCGTTGGAATCGTTGGTAAAGCCGTCGCGGGACGGCAGGCATTGGACAAGCCGTCCCCACTGAGGTGCACCTCAGTGGGGACAGTGGCTGCCCACTGAAGGTCCGATGCAGGACTGGTTCATCGACAGAGAAGACCAAGCAGCCATCAGGACGGTACACATTGACTGTGCCCCCCCTACCCCAGGCGCGAACTCCTAGATGAGCGGCAGCATGTTTGGGCATGACGGCCGGTTCCTCCCCGGAAGCTGGCTGCCTCAACGAAGCGCGGTGGCGAAGAACCGCGTCATCCGCCCCCGCGGCAAGCAGCCATCCGACGTACTGGTAATGGCCCTGCCAAAGCATGTGTGTGGCCAGCACCGTGTAGAGTTTCGGCGGCCAAGGGGCGGCTCCATACCACATCATGTCTACGAGCCAGCGCGGTGCTGTCGCATTGATGCCCTCAAGATCCTGCATGAGGATCTCACGAAGCTGCTCCCTCAGCTCGGCGTCCAAGCAGGCCAGGAGATAAGCGACCGTGCTGCTCGCGGCCGGCGGAGCCCGAACCCCTTGCATCCAGGTACGCAACAAGGGACGAAGCAGCTGGCTCCTCCGTGGGCTCCACAGAAAGTGTCGCAGCAAAGCGGGGAGGGCAAGCCCTGCATGCGCGACAGCCCAGACTAACGCATTCGCATGGGGCTCCCACCCCATGCGACCGTCCAGGGGCCAGCCTTGCTCTTGTGCAAAGCAGGCGAGGGACAGGTCCCCCCCACAGAGTTTGTCTTGAAGCCATGTAATGTCCGGCCGAGTAGCTGGCTCCACACGGATGAGCAGGACAGTGCGCGTATACGAGCGCGGGTTGTCCACCACAAGGCCCCGCCCCGTCGAGTCCGTAACCCGCAGCATACTCATAGGCACACCAACGAGTGGCTCAAGGAACTGGAGAAAATCTCGGTGCCCCAGGAACCCTGGACATCGCGCCAGAGGCACTGGGACGGGCCACATCCTGGCCAAGGTTCGCGTGCCCATGCTGAGCCAGCGGCAAAACAAAGAGCCAGCAGGATCTGCATGAAGACATAGACCCGCCGACCGTACATCCGCGAGTGCCATGGTGGTAGGGCGTGCGCCTTCCAAATCAGTCTCCTCGAAAGGCTGCATGGTGACACCTGGATGCGTGGGGACAGGGATCGCCAGAATTGGCGTCCCAACCGCCTCGAGCCTGGCTGCGGGGATATGCTGACACAGCGAGCCCTGACACCTCCGCAGACTGAATATTAGGTGCACCAGCAGTTTACAGGCACCGGCAAGCAAGATGCTACTTTCAGTACTCAATCCTAGACTAACGGCCATGCCAAGCGGGGAGACGAGCCCAAGGCGCTCATGCTCTATCATGGACACATCCGCGCGGGCTTCCAGCAGCTGCCACAGCATAGCCGCCGGGATGGTCGCCATCCTGACCAATAGATATTCAAGCAGTCGCAGGTCCCCATCCATCGGCAGGGCACAACTCGCCCTGGCCACTAAGAGCGTGTGCACCATGCCCTCGAACCGCGCCGGGGTTGGGTCCATGCTGAGGACACGGCCGAGTAGGGTTTCAGTCGGTCGATCCCCATCAACCTCAGCTCCAGCGGCGAGCAGGACGTACAATGAATCCACACGCCCGACCTTGACTGCGTAGCGGGCCCACTGCTTCGACGATCGGTTGTTTAGTACTTGAGTAGCAAAGTTGAGGGAATTATACAAATGCGATAGTCATGGTTAGCAAGTTCGCTAAGTCATATTTAGTGGAGTTAATAAGACCTACATCTATAGTAGTTGCATTACAGCAATTAGTACTTGTGTTGAAGCAGATACTGTTTGAATACAATGTAGGCTATCTGGATAGCATGGTTATGCTAGGACTTCCGTGAGTTAGCTAAGTCCAAACCAGCACAGATAGTGGAGATAGGATAAACATTCTATGTCACATGTGTACTTGTGCTAAGTGCAGTTATGTGTAGAATATATGCATGTCTAAGAACAGCATTTTATCATGTCCAGACAGCACACTATTGTTTGAATGCCACGGACATTGCTGTGTTTGCAGACTTCAGAATCATTTTTTTGATGATTGCCTCAAACATATCTTCATGATTGTAGCAGCTCGCCGGCATTTTTAGCCTGGCAGGGCTTATTTTTGCATAGAAACCCATGGACTGTTTTTTGCAGCTTCTGGCTGAAGACTTTGTTTGTTTTGGAACCGACACTTCCCGATGTCGCTGACACACGAAGTGTCGCAGCAGATCCAAGCGATTTTGGATCGGAGCAAGGGCGGGGACTTCCTCGTGAAGTCGGTGCAAGAGCTCTTTGGGCTCCTTCGCAAAGCTGGCCTCATGACCAGCATGACCTTGCCACCCCTTTCTGTTGGAGTGCATCCACAGAACCGCGATGGGATTATGCTCAACCAACAAGACTGCCATGAGCTGTTAGACTCCATAGCCCAGGTGGGCTTCGTGCCAACCAGGGTCGAAGCCATAGGTGTGGAGGTGTGCAACGAGCAAGAGAGGTCGTACAACGTCCAGCTGTGCACGGCGGCAGCGGGGAATCTGGGCTCGATGGACCCGGGGGCCCTGAAGATCCTCAGTCTCAGTGCCTCTCACACAAATTTTGCACTCAGGCTGGTCGCCAGTGCGGCACCAGCTCGTGCAAGCCAGCCAGAATGCGACATTACAGAAATCGGAGAGCGAGATGCAATTGCTGAGGAGGGTCTCTAGCTTGTGCAGTCGCGAGAACCCTCCAAACTTCCAGCAGGTCAAGAGCATGGCCCTGAACTCAAAGCCCCCGTGCGCGGAGACATTTCCTGCTTTGTACACATTCGCACTTCGGTGGCTGGGCTTTGATATAGATGCTAAATGTTTCTCTTTATATAGGGATTTGGGTGCATGCATGCATGTATGAGGTATTGCGGCGGCTCTGCGGGGAGATTTCTCCGTGAGACGGAGGTGTTCATTCGGAGTCAAGGCAATACCCGGTCTTTGGGCTTGGGGTTCTGGCAGCTGCTCGCCCAGGACGTCATGAAGGGGCAGCAGCAAGTTCCCCACATGAGGCATGCAATCCTCAAAGTTGCCTTGTCTGCTACTGGTTTGACACAGACCAATGCCAAGAAGATGTTTTCTCGGGATTGCAGCACCAAGATCTTGGAAGGAGAGAAAGTTCTGAAGGAGCTTCGCGAACTCGTCTCCAGTGCAGGCACTGACATCTTGCAGGATGTTCGTTTCGTCAACATTCTCGGCATCGTGGATATGACGGTGGCCAGGTTTTGCCTTGGACTTCAGGCAGAGGACAAAGACACCGGCAAGGATTACAAGAGCATCCAAGGCATTGCTCACGGTGCCACCATGGTCTTCGCAACCATAGGGGTGGAGTTGACTTCTCCGCGGCAAGCTTGTGCCGAAGCATCGAAGGGAGGGCAATCCTCTGCACAGGCCGCAACGGAGAGAATGCGGGAACTGATTGCCGACGGATCCTTGCGGAATGCATCAGAACTTCTTGCAGACAAGGGTTTCAAATTGCAGGCATTCGTCCGCCGAAAGGCAGACAAGCTAGAATGCAGAATCGATGCCTTCCAGGGCCAGCATGTGCATCTGACCGAGCTCGGAAAGAAGGGAGTGATGAAAGTGCCTTTCGAGCAATTCATGGGTGGGGCCTGGGCTACATTCCAGCCCAGGAGTGAGCCTGAGATGATCGAGGACCTCAGTGTCTTCCACCCGTCGGAGTGCCATGACTTCCAGGCGGCTGTGGTCGTGGCATGCATTCAGAAGGAGCTGGCCACATTGACCGAGGATCACAAGGATGTCCTATCGCAGCTATCCATGCAGCTCAAGCCGACGAAGGCCCTCGTGACCAAGGAGAAGTTCAATAAGGGGCAGCTCGTTCTGGTCCCATCTTCCTTCAAGATCGTGCAGAGGCCCACATCCCAAGGAGATTTGCCCAATGGTGTGAAGGTCCAGGTTGATTGGACTTTGGATGAGCGATCATTCTGGATTACGGCATCCAACAGCATGCCGAAGGAAAGCGAGACCTTCCAAGTTGGTAGGTATTGTTTCGCTCCCTTCTTCATGGTGCCAGCTTCAGAAGAAGTCGATTCCGTGAACCTCGTCTTGTGCAATGCAAAAACCAATGTCGCGAAGCTGTTGATCCCCATCTTGAAGAATACCCACGCAATCCCCAAAGGCACCTCGTTGCTGCAGGCCCCGATCAAGAAGGACAACAAGAGGGAGAACTTGGAGATGCCGAAGCCCGTGAAGCGGGTGAAAGGCAAGCACTGAGTGCATTTGACCGTGCCGGAGTTTTGGTGTCAGACAGAACGAGTTTTGGCGCACAGAGCTGTTGAAACGGGTTCGTGCATGCCCGGATGCCATCACCGCCCTGCAGGGCTGCAAGCTCGCAGGCAGTTTCTGTGCAGATTGCATGCATGAGCTGATTCAAACCTGACATGAAACATGACATGTACCCTGCATGAACCCTGTGCTTCGAAGCTGGCAGAGAACATTTCGAGCTTGTGTCTTTTGTGTATAGGATATCTCTGCCATGGCTTTGACAGTGAAGATGCAGCGGGTCATTTCAGATGGCAAGCAAGATCTTGTGCTTCCTCAAAAAGAGGTGTCGGGCTTGGAGTTCGTTTGCTTGGAGAAGTGGAACCGGCAGCTCGTGAAGGTGCTGACAGGAAAGGCCCTGGACCTTAGGCCGGGGAAGGCTGCAGCATCCGGCAGTCTCAGCTCGAAGGTTTGGGGGGAGATCGTGGAGCAGCGACAGAATGTCGCCAACCAAAAGCTCCAGGAAGCCCTCGAGGTTGAGGTCAAAGATAATACTGCCAATGGTGCCCGAAAAAAGCCTAAGGCAGTGAGGGCAAACAGCAAGCACATGATTATGCTGCCAGAAGTGCTCGACATCGAATGTCGCGAACATAGCCTCAAAGTCTTGATTGAGGGGATCAACACCCAGACCATTTGGATGCACTTCACAGAAGAGAACATCAACTGGTTCAAGAACGAGCTGGATACAGAGGAAGCGAAGCCTCGGGTGGCACGACGATCCGGCAGCAAGAAGCGAGCCCGGGGTCACAGCAGCGACGAGGAGGCCGAGGACGGCGAGGTTGATGGGGAACAGAAGGACGAAGACTATTGATCGGCAGCATGTTTCCCATGTCTATATATTACATAGACGATTTTGAGGGGCCACTTTGCATTCTTGCGAGGGAAAGAAGAAATGTGGTATACAGCTTTGCTTCTTGCCATATCATACAATGAATGATGCATGCCTTTTCTATACACACACACACATGTAGCATGTTTGAATATACATATGACACGGGGAAAGGGAAAGTGTTCCAAATCGCAGGGGTGAAAGAAGGGGCAGGAGAAAGAGACGGTTACGAGAGAGTGTATGCTTTTGTTGCATGTGTTGTCACTGCTTCCTGCATTTGCCGCCCCGCATGCACGAAGGCTCTCGCAACAGCATGCACAGGAGGATGCATGCAACAGGCATACAGCCACTGAGGCCGGTGCATGCATGCGGCAGGCACACAGCCACTGAGGCCATGAACTATCGGATCGAAGTTTCGGGGTTTAGGGCTTGCGACATAGCCATGGCTTGCTATCGCCTCTTTTTCAATGGAATGCCCGAGGCATGTCTGCTGCACTGCATGCCCTACATATTTGTAAAAACCCCTAAACCCTCAACCCTATATGCAGGCGGCGGAGCACGACTTGCAAGCTTCGATCGGAGACACCTTCACGAAGGCGACGGCCACAGGGGTTGTGCACTTCTCCAGGTTGAAACTTTGCAGTCTGTGCATTGGACGAAGGACAATAAGAAGAAGTGGAGGTGGCTTTCGGGGCCGGCTGCAAGGCCTTGGGGAAGGCTGAGGTGGACCAAAGGAGGTGGGGTGCATGTGCTGATCATGCATGGAGAGAAATGATTTTTTTGGTCCAGGCTGGCACGTGGACAAGATGGGGGACTCCGAGGAGGTGCTCTCCATCTGGTTCAATGCCTCGAAGTCCCTGGAGCCTCCTGAGAAAGGCCTGTGTGACACCCAGCAACCCAACACACCGATCAGGCTGGAAGTTCTGGTGCTCCAAGAAGGGCCGGTACAGGAACAGCCAAATCTACTTCGAGGACCTTGGATGTGTGTCTGAAGTATTTCGGATGGAACATGCAGTGTTGTTTGATACAGGAAGTCAGATCCGGCGAGGAGCCAGCCGAGGCACTCGATCGTTACAATGGTTCTTCTTGTCACCCGATGTGGTGTGAAGAGGCTTCGAGCTCCAAGCCTCCTCCGGAGCCCATGGAGCCTCCGGTCGAGGCCTTGCATGGCGGTCATGGTTCCATTGACGCTGTTTCCCATGATGGTTCCTGATGTACATTTATATAAGGTCTCTGGCCATGATGGGGAGTTCCAGGCTGGAGTGGCCACGGAAAAATGGAATTTGTTTTGTGTGCTGTCTGCGACAGGACCCATGGGCGGATCAAGATGATGGAGAATACCGTTTGGGAGGGGAGGAGGTGCCACATTGTATACATATTGATAT